GGTATGTATGTATAAAGAGATATATATATGTATGTATAAAGAATCTACCAAAAATACAATTAGAATAACAATTATTTAGTTGTAGGAGACAAAATCAATATACAGATAGCTGTGGCATTTTTTTAAAAAAGGTTTTTATTTGACAAGAGAGACAGCACAAGCAGGGGAAGTGGGAGAGGGAGAAGCAACCTGAGCCAAAGGCAGATGCTTAACCGACTGAGCCACCCAGGTGCCCCTATCTGTGGCATTTTTATACACCAATAACAAGACTCAGAAAGAGAAATTAAGAAAACAATACCAGGGCATCTGGCTGGCTCAGTGGGTACAGCATGCAACTTGATCTCGGGGTTGTTAAGTTCGAGCCCTGCATTGGGTGTAGAGATTAGTTAAAAAAATAAAAACTTTAAAAAAGAATGACAATACCATTTACAATTGCATCAAAAAGAATAAATTACCTAGGAATAAATTAAACCAAGGAAGTGAAAGACTTGTGTCAAGAGGACACAAACAGATGGAAAGATATTCTGTGTCCATAGATCAGAAAAATCAATTTTGTTAAAATGTCCATAATACCCAAAGCAATCTACAGATTCAATGCAATACCTATCAAAATTCCAATGGCCTACTTCACAGAACTAAAATAATTCTAAAATGTGTATGGAACCACAAAAGATCCTGAATAGCCAAAGCAATCTTGAGAAAGAACAATAAAGTTGGAGGTATCAGGCTCCCTGATTTAAAACTATACTACAAAGCTATAGTAATCAAAACAGTATGGTATTTGTACAGAAACAGACACTGAGATCAATGGAACATAATCAAGAGCCTAGAAATAAACTCACACATACATGGACAATTAATCTATGATAAAGGAGCCAAGAACATATAATGACAAAAGGATAGTCTCTTCAATACAATGCTGGGAAAACTGTACAGCCACATGCAAAAGAATGAAACTAGACTACTATCTTACACCAGATACAAAAATTAACTCAAAATTGATTAAAGACTTGAATCTAAGACCTGAAACCATAAAATTCCGAGAAGAGAACACAGGTGGTAAACTCTTTGACATTGGTTTTAGCAGCATCTTTGTGCATCAGACTCCAAAGGCAAGGGAAACTAAAGCAAAAATAAATTAAAACACTTCTGCACAGGAACCATCATCAAAACAAAAAGGCAATCTACTGAATAGAAGATATTTACAAACCAGTTATGTGATAAGGGGTTAACAGCTGAAATATACAAGGACTCATACAACTCAACAGAAAAACAATGCAATTAAAAAATTGGCAGAGGATCTGAAAGGCACATGAAAAGTTGTTCAACATCAGTAATTATTAGGGAAATGCAAATCAAAACCACAATGAGGTATCACCTCACATCTATTAGAATGGCTATTATTAAAAAAAAAACACAACAGAAATAAGTGTTGGAATGGATGTGGGGAAAAGGAAACCCTTGTACATTTTTGGTGGGATTGTAAATTTGTGCAACTACTATTGAAAATACTATGGAGAGTCCTCAAAAAATTAAGAACTACCACATGACCCAGCTATTCCACTTCTAGGTATTTACCTGACAAATACGAAAACACTAATTTGAAAAGATATATGCACTCCTATGTTCATTGCAGCAGCATTTACAATAGCCAAGATATAGAAACAACCTAAGTGTCCACAGATAGATGGATCAAGATGATGTGGTATATTTATACAATGGAATACTACTCAGCCATAAAAAAAGAATGAAATCTTGCAATTTGTGACATGGATAGACCTTGAATGTATTACGCTAAGCAAAGTAAGTCAGATGAAGACAAATGCCATATAATTTCACTCATGTGGAGTCTAAAAACAACAAAACAAAAACATACAGAGAACACACTAATGGTTAGGGGGTGGGTGAAATGCGTGAAGCGGGGCAACTGTACGGTGATGGATGGTAACTTCACTTTTGCTGGTGATCACTTTGTAGTGTATACAGATGTTGAATTATAGAGCTGTACACCTGACACATATATAAAAAATGTGTAGGCAAAATGTCATCACTTATGGGTTTGATTCTCAAAATATTTTAATCTTGAGAGACGAGAAACCAGATGTTAAGTTCAGCAAGTAGTAGCAGTCTCTTCCAATTCAGCCCTGATTTCCAAAATGGAAAACAAGATTCAATAGCCATCTAACTCATCAACTGGGAAAGTTTTATTTTTCTTTTATGGCACGTAATTTAGAACATTAAGATAAAAGAATATTAAAGAATGGAATGAAAAATGTGCATGAATTCTGGAGTGAAGATGGGAGTGAGGAGGACTCTGATTTCTGGCTTAAGTAACGGGGTGGATGGTGAAGCCCTGGCCCAGGATTTAGGGGAACGGAGCAGATGGAACACTGTAGCCTGAGCCATTCTCTTGCACCTCCCCTGCCAAAAAAGGAAAACCTGGTGCCATGGTGCCAAGAGTACCACTCTGGCACAGGTCCTAACCTACTGTGAAGAGAGGGTGCTATAGCCTGGGCCAACTCCCAACTCTGTCCCTCTTGCCCCCAAACATACAATTCCTTTCTCTTCCACAATTACTCATTATATGCTAAGGATGGCCCTAGTCTGGGAAGGGGGAAAAAAGAACCAGTATGGAAAAGTGAGAAGGATTTAATAATAAAGTTGTGTGGGAAACATTATTAATTTCAGTTTTTGACATGTCTGAGATGCCTATAAGATAACCAAGTGGAAATTTCTAATAGGCACCTTGCAGAAAAATCTGGGTATATAGTAAGAGATTTGGGTTCATTCTCTTATGCTCATTGAGGGCAGATGAGGTCACAAGATGAGAGTAGCCAACAGTGAATCGCAATCTTAGCTGGACATTGGAATCAACTGGAGATCTTAAAAACCAGAAAAAAGACAACACAAAACTGATGCCTGACCTGTCTCCAGAGAGATTCTGATTTAACTGGTCTGAGGTGCAGCCTATGCATTGGAATTCCTGATAGTTCTCCAGGTGATTCTACCAAGAAGCCAAGTCAAGAACCTGTGGCTTTAGAGCATGAAGAGAAGCCAGGATTCAGGATTGATCCCTAGCTCCCAGGGAACACAACATTGTGAAGATTAAGCAGAGGAAGGAGCCTGTATAGGAGACTGTGGCCCCTAAGAAGGGAGAAAAACAGTGGTGTTACGGAAGCCAAGGAAAGACCATTTAAGGAAGAAGAGGAGCCTCAAAGTTCTCTTTTACTACCCATGCTGTTTAGACGTTCCTGAGAGCATAGTAGGAAACAGCTCCCCCAAAGTGGCCTTTATTTCAAATTTCATGCAAATGTCATATTCTGTTCTTTAAGAGTAGTATTTTAAATGATATACCATAGAAGAAAAACAAAATAAAAATTCCAAACCTTATGAACTATCACAAGACACTACCCTCCATCTTCTGGGTCCTTATACCTAAAGTGCAAACAAATTGCAGCTGATGAGAGCCCTGACTTACTGGTCCATACTGATTCCACTGGCTGTAGAAATTCCACATTTTTGCAATTATCAACAATTAAAAAAACCCAAAAAACAAAAAACGAGGCATACATCCCTTGGTTAGCTGAGCAGGTTTCAGTGGGAATAGGTCAATATATTTTCTCTAGTATTTATCAGTAAAGAATTTGTTGTAGAGGCGCCTGGGTGACTCAGTCGTTAAGCATCTGCCTTCCACTCAGGTCATGATCCCAGGGTCCTGGGATCGAGCCCCACATCGGGCTTCCCCTTGCTGTGTTCCCTCTCTTGCTATGTCTCTGTCAAATAAATAAAATCTTAAAAAAAAAAATTTGTTGTGCAATTTATAATTCTCTTGTAAGTGATGAAAACTAGTTTTTTTATTCAAGTACTATTGATATTAACAAGGTGTCCTTATAAGTAATTCTTGCACTCAGTAGGTATTCAAAAGTTTATTGGATGAACAAACTACTTTGTGTATGTGTATTAATTTATATGAGTTAGAACAGCCAATTCCCTCCATGTCAGGAAAAAAATACATTCATTTTGCTAAATCAAGGAAGGACGGGGGAAATACATACCATCTACAAACTCAAGAGTCATGTTGCCTTATCCGCCACAGGGAAGGTATTCTGAAGTTAGGCAGTCTGGTGTCAGGTCATAATTATACCACCATCCAACTGGGACTTCTCCCCACCACCCCCCCTTTAAAAAAGATTTTATTTGACAGAGAGAACAAGAGAGCACAAGCAGGGGGAGCAGCAGAGGGAGAGGGAGAAGCAGACTCCCTGCTGAGCAGGGAGCCCGATGCAGGACTCGATCCCAGGACCCTGGGATCATGACCTGAGCTGAAGGCAGATGCTCAGCTGACTGAGCCCCAGGCACCCCAGCTGGGACTTCTTCCTTCGCTGGAATTACCTTTGGGCTGCCAGGGGCAGGAGGCAGAAAGGAAAAGAAGGGTGAGGTCAAGTCCTTGGCAGTCTGTTTCATTCAGTTTATTTATTTAATGTTTTGGGCTCCAGTGTACTGAAATTTAATCTCACATGAAAATAAGGTTCTTTGCTCAAAAAAAAGCTTGAAAACCATTGGATTAGACACACTAAGGTCTGGGAAGACTTTCAAATTATATATATTTGACTCACAATATCTTTAATATTACTTAACTAAGTTTTTGATATATTTTTGGCAATGTAAAGTTTCTGGGAAGAATTTTAAAAACCACAACTAATTTCCTCAAAGATCAAAATAAAAATATAAATAGGAAATGTCTTAAAACTGCAAAATCAGGAATAAAAGCTGTGCTGAAGGGCGCCTGGGTGGCTCAGTTGGTTAAGCGACTGCCTTCGGCTCAGGTCATGATCCCAGGATCTTAGATCGAGTTCCGCATCGGGCTCCCTGCTCGGCGGGGAGCCTGCTTCTCCCTCTGACCCTCCCCCCTCTCATGTGCTCTCTCAAATAAATAAATAAAAAAAAGCTGTGCTGAAGAGAAAACAAAGGAAAAGAATTTAAAGAAAACAGATGACACATCTTTTTCAAATGTCACATTTAATGTTTTCACCACTGTACTTCAAATCTACATTGTACAAAGTGACCAGTAAGTGTGCCACGGTAATTGACCAACCTCTGAGATTGTACCTTTCACACCAGTGTCTTCTTGGGCTCTTTTGATACTAAACACGTTTCTCATTCAAGTGAATTGAAATGCTTCAGTTGGGTTGATTCTCAGGAGCCTCATAAAAAAAAAACAAAGATATTGCACCATCTTTGTTTAGTAATTCAATGTTTGTTTCTTTCACAGCAAATAATTACTTCATTGAAGTTAAAACTTCCAAACATAACTTATTAATAGTCTTCAAATTCAGCTCAGATCACTCAAGATGAAAATACTCTGCTAAATACAGATAACTTACAATAACTTTAACAGTTAATTGTCCATAACACACACCAAGGTTTTTTCCTAGACCAATTTTAAGACGATCCATTAGTATTCCTTGTACAGGTGAAAAACGATCTTCAATTTTCTTGTCTTTTTATTTTTAATATAAAAGTTGGAAGGGACATTCAAGTTTCAAGTCTCCACATTGAACTTAAAAAAAAAAAAATAGTCATCATCAGCATGTGGAGGTAAACAAGCCAAGTTGTATAACTCCAGGAGGTAGAGGCCTTCAATTTGTATTCATATATACATATGCACAGAAGAATTCAGTGTTCCAACAGAAAAAAGAATTTGTCAAAAAGTAATAAGTTATTTACTACTGTGACATTTCAAGACTCCCACAGCTTTGCCTAAGGACACAAACACATTTGACATAATTCCCTATGTGCCTTTTTTTGTGGCTTTAAAGTTTTTAAAAATTTGTTTTTGTCTTTATTTATTTATTTTTTTTACTGTCCAGTGCAGGAAAAGTCTCACAAAATTTCACAGACCTAAAATGTGCAAGCTAGTTCTCTCTCTATACAGCAATATTGGGATTCTTTTGAAATTAGCCCAGAAATGAATTATTTACACACATGAAAGATGCATGCTTGGGGGGTTCTTTTATGTAAGAAAGAGCAGAAAAACTTCTAATAAAAATAGATTAAATATATATATATATATTTATACTGGGTAAGGAAAACAGAAGTTTAGTCTCTCCTAGTCACAAACTCATTCTCTCTACCCACAACATTGGATTTTAGACAGCACACATCACCGTCACAGCTCTAATGAGAAGCTAATTATAGGGCTTGATCATTAGGTGGCATGCCCCACCCCCACCCCCCAGGTGCAGCCACGATCCCCTCATGTGGCTCCATGATTGGTCGCAGGCAAGGTTTCTAGATTCTTTTGTTTTAGAAAACCCCAAATTTTCAGGAATGGCTCAAATATCAAAATGTACGACTGTCCGTGTGTGTGTGTGTGTGTGTGTGTGTGTGAACAATCTCACTTCATTTTAAAAAAAGAAAAAGAAAACAAAACAAAAACACAAAACCCCCAAATCCCGATTTGGTTCAATTCTTTTTTGTTCTGAGGTGAGCCATAACAGCTGCACTAAATTCATAAAACATGTGCAACTCTGGGTAAAATATTTTTCTTCTAAAAGCACAACCACTTTACAAGATTAAAAGTCTAGTAACATTTCTAAATATTATTCATATCATACAAGTAGTGGTTGTTAATTTAAAACTTCATTAGTAAAATTACAGTACAAGCATGATTAACCTCCAGAATTGCAAATCCCAGACTCCAGTGGAAAGCTACATTACATCTTCAGTAGTACAATATCGTCCACCGTCACTCCCACACCAGAGGAGATGGGGGCATCTCAGATGGCTGGGCAACAGTGGAACTGGAAAAAAATAGAGACACGGTGAAACCAGCTGTGACACCACAAAGGGCAAGAGGGCGAGTCAATGCTGCATGTTTTCCTCTCTTCCTTTAAAAAAATTATAAAGTCCATTTCTGGATTTTTATTTAACTTCTCTAAAGCTACGTTTGTTCCAAATTGTTCATTCAAGAATCTGTATCTATAAGTGAGGCAACAGTGATGGGCTTGAAGACGACAAATCATTTACTCGCCGTGGGATGCCGAGCAAATCCCCTCATCTTTCCTCTTTTGGAAAGGGATGATGCCTGCCAACCACCTCATAGGACATTGTGATGAATACACGAGATAATGTAGGTAAAGTGTCTTCCACCATGTCTACTTTGTAATATAAAGTAAGTGGTAGGTATTATAAAAAATAATGTCTATAATCAACCAGGAAAATAACCTTAAGGGATGTAGAATTATCCATTTAAAAATAGCCTCTCAAAATACAGTGACTTTAAGTGGGAACCTATGTGAATGAGCCTTATAAATAAGCACTCTTTTATCAATGAGTTCAGTAGTAATGGATAATCATTTGGCATTTGTTATCCACAGATCGGTTTTCTCAGTTATTTCACATATCTGTCTAATTTTGCTAACTAGATTATAAACTTGAGGGTGTGTGTATAACCACTTTGCTTTGGGATAATGAATAACCTGCACCTGAAAGGTATTAAAACACATGACTGACTGGGTCACTGATTCTTAGGGGAAAATAATAAATTAATTTTAAACCACAGAAAAGTAAAAATGCAACCTAATTCCTTCTTTCCACAGAAAAATACATGGAAGAAATGAAAGTCACCCCTGATTTAAAAAATTCTAAACAAAAATTCTTTAAAAAAATTTTTCTTTTTTTAAGATTTTATTTATTTGACAGAGAGAGACACAGCGAGAGAGGGAACACAAGCAGGGGGGAGTGGGAGAGGAAGAAGCAGGCTCCCCAGGACCCTGGGATCATGACCTGAGCCGAAGGCAGATGCTTAATGACTGAGCCACCCAGGCGCCCCTAAACAAAAATTCTTGACTTTGCTTTAATAAATGTAATCAACTTCAACACCAGGTCAAGGCCAATTAAAAGGGAAGCAAGGAGGAGAGGGGAAAGGGAGAGGCAGAAAGGCAGGTGGGGAAGAAAGGAGGAAGACTGTGGTCTCTCAGATCTAAATCCACCCTTCTCTGTCCTGCTTTGTGATACTGGAGCCAGACCTTACTCAGTTATCCTTTGCCACCCAGCTTATGCTGGAAGGACACTGCAAGGCCACAGCATCAGGAAGCAGTTTCTCTTCCTGCTTCTGGTGTGGTTTTTTTGACGTGGAAGGCCCAGTTTTGTTCTACCCAAACTTTCTGGCAAGTTTCTCTGCAACCCAGCAGGTGTCTCTGGACCAGTTCTGCCCACACCTTTTGCAAAGTTTCTTCACCACCCTCAAGCTGTGTGTGTTCTTGTGGCAGTCATATCCTCTACAAAGAGGTCCAAATTTTTAAGCCCTGGGTGGTGGGCCCTCCTCCAAATTTTAATTTCTTCCTTGTTCACTCTTCCTTAGTCTGGAGGGAGTACCTGCTTTCTGCACTGGCTACTTTGGGACCCTCCAGAATCTTCTTATGCACCTTTTAGAGTTAACCATCTTTTCCTAGTTAATGCTTCTCACTATTAAATTTTCCCTGTCCACATTACTGGGTGTGGTTTCTTTCACCTGGCTGGACCTTAATTGATGCAAGGATTAGGGAAAAAGACACTGAGAAGGAAAGGACAGAGAGAGAGAGACAAAGAGAACGAGGCTTGTCGGGTTCCAAAGCAGCTATGAAGCTCTTTCAACAAAACTCTAGACAGGATACACCAGCACTATACCTATAAAATCACCTTGCTTGCAGTTATTATTAAGGTGGTGGGGATGGTAGTGGGAGCCAAGATAACCATGTCTACGTCGAGGGCAGCGGCCGCCACGCTGCTGCTGCGGGAGGGTCCCTAGCATGTGCTCGATCAGGCAGTACAGTGGTCATCTGCGAACAAAACTGCCAAAGCACCAACCCTAATCAACCACCGTGAAGTGGCGTCAGTGTAAAAACAAATGCTTACATTTTTTTTTTAAGATTTTATTTATTTGCGAGAGAGAGAATGAGGGACAGAGAGCGTGAGAGGGAGGAGGGTCAGAGGGAGAAGCAGACTCCCTGCTGAGCAGGGAGCCCGATGCGGGACTCGATCCCGGGACTCCAGGATCATGACCTGAGCCGAAGGCAGTCGCTTAACCAACGGAGCCACCCAGGTGCCCAAATGCTTACATTTTTAATTTGCTTTTGACTAAAGCCAAAACTCGTAGAGGAAACCTTCTTTTTGTCTATATTATCTAATCTAAATAAAAACAGAAATATGCTAAATAACTAAATCACAATGGCAACCTTTCAATAACAAGAAAGTAAGAATTACATATATATAGTTACCTAATAAAGCTCTTAAAAGCAGCAGACTGCGGGTTGATGCAGAGAGGCACTCTGTTTCCTTTCTGCTGTTCCAAAATGAACTGGTGAATAATTTCTGTGGAGAAAACAAACATCATACAATCCATGCCAATCTGCAGGCCTGGGAACAGCGGATTCTCAGCTAACTGGCCAGCATCTGAACAGCATTTCCTATTAGTTCAGTTAGATCAAACACACAGATCATGTATCAGGCAGGATCCAGTGGAACTTTCCTGAAACCAAAATGACAGTGGCTGCTAAACACAGGCAACCTCCATACCCCGCTGACCAAGTGGTGTTATACGGGTTTGAAACTCCATCCGTGGGAGGAGTAAAATGGTCTATAAATTTGAGGGTGATTCCACAGAGTTGGCATTATGAATGAATCTTCTAGGTTGCTGGTATTTATTGCTCTTTTGAAAATCACTGAAAAAAACCCTGCAGTTGTTTAGGCACATAGTTTTGGCTGTTTACCTCAGGGACTACTCCTCTAAAACATCCTAAAATGTCTAAAATCATTCAGAATTTTGGATGTCATTAACCTCCATCCCCACCCCAATAGGAGATCGTGTCAGGGAATTTTGAGTAGACTATCAGAAATTCCCCTCTCTTGTGACCATTCAAGGAATGATTCCCTCAGTGGGTGTTTATATCCTTTGTATAATTTGCATGTTTATATATAAAAAAGTCCAATATGTTTCATTCAGTGAAATCACACTGAGTGAATACATATTATCTACTTTGAGTCACACTCACTAAATAAGTCAGCCTGACCTTCCACTGGATGCAATATTAAATCAGTGTTTTTATAACACACATAGCTTTCTTGGCATATATGCCCTGGACAAAAAGCTATATGCAAGGTTGTAAAATAAACATATGGAGGAACTTTGGTCACCATCTAGATTCAGCTTTTCACAGCCACATAATGGAAAATGTTATTATTCATCCTGCCTGGCCGAGGGCCAAAAAAGATACTCACCTTTAACCTGTCGAACAGAACTGAGGTTCTTCTCAAAAGTGTCATCAAATTTGGGATTGGTGATGGGCTCAAAGTCACTGGTATAAACTCTTCCAGTAGAGGTGGAAAAGCAACATTTACACATACACGTGTGATATCGTAGTCGCCCTTCATCTAGGTAGGGGTGGGCTAAGGCATCCTTAGCGGATATTCTTTTGGACTGAAATCAAATTTAGAGACCAGCACATCAACACCACAGATAAACATGACTGTCCACAAAGGATCTTTCATAAGACACAGTAACTGCTTTTCACAGCTTATCCTTAGTCTGTAGTGTATCTTGTATAAAGAGGAATGTCTGAATGTAGAGGCAGGTAATGCAGCAGCAGAGGGAGTATATAACGTAGGACAACCAACCACCTGACACCACCAGAAAGCACTTAGACGTGACTCTGCTAAGATCCTGAAGAGTTCCTACCTTGAAATAGATATATGCATGGTCAAAAAATGGCAAATACCATGACATTTAAATATGCAATGCTTTGGAGGGGTAAGTTTACATTTTAAATAACAGTTTTATTTTCTAAATATGTTTCAGCATTTGGTAGAGATGTGATCACAGTGGCAATTTTACAAACTTTTATTCTCTTAGAATGCCAACTGAACTTAGGGCAAAAGCCTATGGGTAACTGCTCAGGTTAGGCAGCAGATAAGGTCTGAATGCCATGTTTTGACAGCCAGCACCATCCGAATATCGGTGGCCTGTGGTTTTCTAGCACTTCAGATCAGAATACTTAATGTAGTAGTTTCAGGTTTACATAAATCATAAACTCATTTCTCCATTAAAAAAAATCTGCTCGGGGCGCCTGGGTGGCTCAGTCGTTAAGTGTCTGCCTTTGGCTCAGGTCATGATCCCAGGGTCCTGGGTTCGAACCCCACATCGGGCTCCCTGCTCGGCGGGAAGCCTGCTTCTCCCTCTCCCCCTCCCCCTGCTTGTGTTCCCTCTCTCGCTGTGTCTCTCTCT